TCTCCTTTAGGCGCACCCTGAAAACCCATCTCTTCAGGGAAGCCTACCCCACCCTCTGCTAACTTGCTGACCTCCTCCACTCTTCCTACCACTCCATCCCCCACAGCTATCTCCTCCTGTGCCACCATCCCCTCCCTCCTAGATTGTAAGCTCGAAAGAGCAGAGCCCTCGAACCCCTCATGTTTTGCATTGTATTGTTATTGTTCTGTCACATGTTCTGTTCCCCTTTGTAATGTACAGCGCTGAGCGAACTATTGGTGCTTTATAAATACTGTATAATAATAATAATCCATCTACGGTCAGCTTAAGAATCCAAAAATAGAGCTCCCTAATGAAAAAAAACAGAAAATGTCACCTTAAAGCCCAGCTGACACTTACTTTATTCCTCCCAGCTATGCAAACAAAATGGGGAAAGAATTTAATTTGCAAGTAAATTGAATGCATCTGTTGGACAGTACAGACCCACCCTGGCCATATCTTATCCTATCCCTCCCTCTATATTCCCTGCTCCCTCTTTTTCTTTCTTTTATACTGTTGTTTCTCTTGTCCTGTGCATCCACATACCCCCCCATTGTAGAAGACCCCATATTTAATGTACTCATCTTTATGTTCACACCTATGAATAACATTTGATTTGACAAAATGAATGCTACAATTTTCGCTTACATAGGATACAGCAATACCTTTGTGAGAAAAGTCTTGTATGCTGAGATCTCTATGTACTGTTTTCTGTAATCCTTTCCCTGATCTTCTAGGCGTTTTGCCTTGATTGTTTGTTATTTTTATTTTTTATCCATTTTCCTGTAGATTCTAATAAAAATCTATTGAAAAAAAATTATATTCATGTTGTAAAGCGCTGCGAAAGCTATTTAAATACAGTATTACAATGATAATAAATATTTTACATCTTTATTATTCAGTGGTGATAATACAGAACATATGCACAAAGCTACAAGGCATTACCCTAGTAGAGGTTTTAAAGTCAAAAGGTTTTATGCCTTAACCTCTTAGCGCAGGCGCCTCCCAGCCCTTTAGGAGTTTCAGAAGCCAGGAGGCGGGGTTTTAGGGTCATGTGACCGCCGTGATTTGTCATCACGGCAGTCACATGACTGGAAAAGGTCCTGATCGAAAGGGGAGATTGGGACCTTTCCGTGAGTCACGGACATATGTGCCTGGGAGCGTGCGCTCTCAGCACATATGTATTTTCTAATTGCACGAAAAATATGCGGTCGCTCAGCATCAAGGCCCAGACACCAAGAGGCCGCATATTTGCGTGCGCTCGGCGTCAAGGGGTTAATGCATTACCTGCATTAAAACAGAACTTCACTATCTCAACCAGCAATAACTATTTTTAATCCTTATGCTGCTAACATTAGTAAATACATAGGAAACTTTGCTTCTATTAAACTTTTTTTTTTACCTTTTACAATTGCTCGTTTGTTTTCCAGGCCTAGGCAAGTTGTGTCATGCATCCCAGGAGTCTTCAGGAGGAGAGGGAAGGAAGTGCTTTCTAAACTGAGCAAACCATGCCACCTACACGCCTGAGCTAAAGGGCAGATGGATTCCAGGAAGTAAATGCTATATGAATCATTTGTCCTTACTTGATATGGCCAGGGCCAGAAATGCTAGGGTTTTTTTTTTTCGAAGTGATTCCTCAACAAAATAAAAAAAGGAGACATGGATGGAAGGGTGAGTTTCCTTTAAATATTTAAAAATTAACGAATTAATGTTTTTGATTTGTGGTGCTCATATGCAGTGCACTTTCACTTGCTGTTCCTTTCCCCCACCCTCCTTAAATACTTGCTTGAGTCCTCTCTCAGTTCAGTGCTGTGCCTGTCTGCAGCAGTGCTGGTCTCTCTTCCTGCTCTCACAGGACAGATTGAGAGCAACGGGAGCCATTGGCTCCTATGCTGTCAGTCAAATCCAGTGAAGAGGGAGCAGGGGGCGTGGCTGAGCCATGTTGTGGGTGTCTATGGATGCGTACAGCCCGGCTCGAGAGCATGCCTGTACATGTGCCCCTATAGCACATGGCTTGGTATGGGGGCACATGCAGAAGAGGAGGAGCAGACAGTGCCGGCAGGGGACTCCAGAAGAGGTAAAGGGATGTTCTGCGCAATATCCTTGCACAGAGCAGGTAAGTGTAAACCACTTTTTTATTTTAGTGAAAAAAATAGGAGCCTTTATAATAAATCTTTATGGCCACATATAATGCGGGCAGGTTATTTTATCCCCAGAGTCAAAGGACACCAAAAGCCTGATCTTATATATTTAAAAAAATATTTATCTTCTAGAAAAAGCTAATTCTTGTATCTTTAAAACAAACCTGTACTTAGCCCATAGTAGGCAAAGATGCAAAGTAGCAGCAGCTGTTGTAAAGTCTATGGCTGGGCAGGAAGCCGCAGACAGGACCTGCTGCTCTCCTGGCTATGGTCCAACTTCCCCCCTGGTGACCCACAGCTAGCTGTTGGCATTCAGCAATGCCAAGACTCCCTGCTGATTGCCTAGCTCTAGCTGAGTCACCAGGGGGTATGTTGGACCACAGCATAAAGACTGCTGCTGTCACACAGAGAACAGCGGGTCCCAGCTATGGATTTTATAACAGCTGCTGGGAGTTATTTGGCAGCCATTACAAAAAGTAAGATTTGCTCAGTCATTTTTTTTTAGGCTCCTCCAAGCTAAGCTATTAAAATTTAGAAGGAAGGTACCTGGGGCTTTACGGAATAAATAATTTTTAGATGGAGTGGTTTTTCAAATTGCCTGAAAAAAAAAACATATTTTGGAAACAATGTACGGTGCAAGATTAAACATATGGTAGCTTTATCTTCAATTTGCATGTTTAAAAGCCACCATTTTAAAATCCTTGAGATCCATTTATCAATGTTTTTCAAGCATTGTGTGATTGTATTTTATGTGCAAAATGTGTGAATCTGGGGTGAAAACATTGCTAGATAAACCCCTTGACTATTTGCTACATGGAATTTTACCTTGTTTTTTTTTTTTTAGCATTTCAAAGTCCAATTAAACCTTCAGTTTAAATCAGCTAAATGTATTGCATCAAAACAAAAGGTGTTCAAGGCCTTTGAAAAGGTTCACACTGCTGCGATCAGATTTCAGTGTAATTATGTAGTGCAACTTAGATGCTACTTTGGAGTGGTTTGCATATTCTGAGGCCAAATTCGTGCTGGAATATCACCAAAGTAGTACGGGAACCTTTTCCAAAATCACGCCATGCTGAGTTGTATTGATGTGAACGGGTATAATTGAAAACAACGTGATTTCCATTGTCATGAGATTCTGTGTGACTTAAAGTGGAACTGCACTGCATCTGAGTACCACAAATCAAAAATGCTATATAGTTCATTTTCAATATTCAAACCAAACTCCTCTATCCATCTATGTCGCCATGCTTTATTTTGTTGAGAAATCATTTTGAAAAACACCTTCTGGCATTTCTGGCAGTGGCCATCTTGAGTAAGGGAAGATGACTCATGTAGTATTTACTTCCTGGAATCCATCTGTCCTTAGCTCAGGCTTTGGCTGAGCTGAGAACGCTCCCTCCCCTCCTGAAGTCTCCTGGGATGTATGACATCATTTACCTAGGCATGGAAACCAGGAAGTAAATTAAGTAATGCACAAAAAAAAAAAAAAAAAGGTTAAAACAAGTAAATATGATATACTTTCCTACCTATTTACTAATGCTAGCAGCAAAAGGATTAGAAATAGTCCATGTTACTTAAGAGAGTGGAATTTTGCTTTAAGTCGCATCTGAAATAGCACTACTGTGAACGGAGTCTTACAGTTCGATTTCTTTCTAAAGCAGCCACAGCACAGGGTAAGCAGTGGTCTCATTGCAGAGGTTTGACAAGCCCCCTACTTGGTCAGACCTCTAACTCTCCTGCTCCATGCTGATTGAGGAGCTTTAGCTAGAACTCATCAGGAGACGTGTCAGACCTCTAAACAGAGATCACTGCTTCCACACTGAGATCAAGGGGTGCCACTCTGCAGTATGCTGGCAGGACAGAGGTTTTTCCTCCTTTGACTGTGGCTACTTTATAAAGAAAACAAACTGAAAGTCTTTGCAACCCTTTTGTGTTTTTACCTTAATGCATTCTAAAGTTAAAAAACTTCTGGGTGCAGCCACCCCCTTAACTTACCTGAGCCCCATATGGTAAGTATAACAAGTTTTTTTTTTTTTTTTTAATTACAACCTTTAGAATCAATATAAATGTATCTAAAGTGGTTGCAAACCTCAGACATGAAATAAAAAAACATATCCCTCTATAGTGTGTACTTGTCTCAATTAAGAGCACTGAATGTCATTTCTGTCTGCTGTTTCATTCCTCTGCTATCAGCATAAATTACGTTTGATGTTTCCTGACACCAAGAGAAATCTGGTGACAGGGAGGGACCTCCAGCACAATGACAGCCTCAGCTCTGTTCCTGTGAGCTGTTTGAAGGGGATTGTGTCCATTACCTCCAATCAGCTCTCCTCAGTTGTTCTCACCAGAGTTGTTCTTCACCTCTACACCCCCTTTTTTTCTGACAGTTTAAATAAGCTTTATAAATTCAGCACTTTGAATGGATGTAGAGAAGAAAAGACTGCAGAGAGACAGATACAACTTATGTAGGAGGTTTTGTTTGATCTCTGTGTATCACTTGAAGCCAGTCACTTCACTGGGTATATGTAAGGGTTTACAATCATTTTAACTAAATAAAGCAAAGGTTCAATTGTGGTTTACCGAAGAAAAATGCAACTCAAAAATTTTAAATCTCGAAACAGTATACATTTAAAAAAAAAAAATCTCTAATTATATTTTCTGCTAATTTTTGTGAATAAAGTTTTTGTTCTTCAGGTCAGACAAGCAGTGCTGCATTGGTGTACAACAAAATGACTCTTTGCCTTATTTCTCTATTTCCTTCAGCACTTGTTGTAAAATGCCATCAATTGCATTGACATCACAGCTTAAGTTTGGAAAATGCAGATCTGGAGACAGTATGGTCAGTAAGCGGGTCAAATTAATTCTGAGGTTTCGGAACTTTGTGCTGAAAGACAAAAATTATGCAAGTAAAAGTTAAAAAAAAAAAGATCTTGCTTAGAACATAAATTTAAAAAAAGTTAAACTTTACAGTGACGATATAAACCTCCAATAAGTGAACTGACAGATTTATTACTGTATTGTGTACCGGAAAGTATTTTCATGTGACTTCCACATTTCTATTGTATGATGATATTTACATTAAATTATTATAATGTTTTCAAACCAGTAAAAGCTGATATATAGTCATTACAGTACACGTATTGTTGGCTTTGATCATGAAAAAATCAAGCCTCATAGTAATTAATTAAATTAGGTGCTCTGACATACCTCCCAACTTTCTGAAAATGATAAAAAGGGACATCTTTTAGCACACAGTATGTAGGCAAAGGACACGTCTCTGCCACGGCACAAAAGATTTGAATATGCAGAAAGTGAGTGGCTAAATCACTTTTTTTCCCACTATTTTTCCTTTATATTGGCTTTTCAAAATAGCAAATGCAATAATATAGAGATTAGATAAAAAAAAGTTTAGTACACCATAAAACATTTGGTAGTAAAATAGTACATTCTGTAAAGAGTTCATTGAGTACACAGCAGACCAAAAAGAGGGACAACTGTGGCTGCACACGTAAGAGACAGTTGAGTGCTATGCTCTGATACTCTGAAATGCTTGCTTTGCCTGCCAGGGGATTCTTAGAGATGAAGTCAGCCTAAGCATAAACCTGAAGTCAATAGTGAAAGTGGTTCTAAAGTTAAAATGTTTTTTACCTTAACCCCTTAGCACTTCCTGTCCCTTTAGGGCAGCGGTCGTCAAGCCGTGGCTCACGCGAGCCACATGCGGCTCTTTACACACATTAATGCGGCTCTTCTGTGTGCCGGGCGCCCGCTCCCCTCCCTCCTCTCGGGCGGCTGCCCCAAAAGTCAGGACTCTGCAGCTAGCCCAGCAATGGGCAAACTACGGCCCGCATACGGCCCGGCGGACCTTTTAATCCAGCCCGCAGAGCGTGGCAAACATTGGCTGTCAGGATGTAGGCGGGGCAGCGTGACGAACTCCTCTCCTCTCACAGTCCGCCCTGAAGACCGGAACGGCGCGGGAACACGGCGAGAGGAACGTGCAGAGCAAAGGTAAGTGAATTGACACAATATGGGGAATGAATTACTATATGGGGGATGAATTACTATATGGGGGATGAATTACTATATGGGGGGATGAATTACTATGGGGGATGAATTACTATGGGGGATGAATTACTATATGGGGGATGAATTACTATGGGGGATGAATTACTATATGGGGGATGTATATTCAGTTTTAAAAATGTGGCTCTCAAAATAAATTTCAATCGTGGTTTTGGCGAGATTTGGCTCAGTTGAAAAAAAAGGTTGCCCACCACTGCTTTAGGGGGTTTTAGATGCCAGGAAGCGGGACAGGTTTCTGATCATGTGTCCACTGTGATTGGCTGTCACAGCGGTCCCATTATCGGAAAGCTCCGGATCGCAAGTAGAGATCAGGAGCTTTCCATTAGCCACTGGTAACTGTTCTGGCACAGATCTGTTACCTTAAGGTACACATATACACATTACCTTAACCATTGGTCGCCGGGCAATGGCCGTTTGGCGGCCGGCAAAATCCTTCAGCGTTCCGGGTGGACGTGCGCAGTTTGCGCACCTGCAGGGCCATAGCGGCGCGATCTGTCACCGGCCGCGTGACCTGATCTGTGACCAACCATGTGTCCTGCTGTGACCAATCACAGCAGGTCACATGACAGTTGTATACAATGAATGACTTCATTCATGCCATCCATTGTATACTAGTGTGCCTAGCTGTGAATGGTCACAGCGATCACATGCACAAGCTGGGCCAATCACAGCCCAGCTGTGTCATGTGATTAGCCGTGGCCAAATCACAGCTAAGCACAAGAAGAAAAAAAATTAATTGCTTGCTTATAGCAAAGTAATTCTTTGCTATAAGCAAACTGTGTAAAAAAAAAAAAAAAATTACTGATCACTTCCCCAAAGTAGTACAATGCTACTATGGTAACATTGTACTACTTTGGTCAAAGTGAAATATGAAAAAAAAATCTTAAAAAAAAAAAAAAAAAGTGTAATTCCTTCAATGTAAACAATTCCTTCTGTTTTACAATCGACAAAATGGCTTGGAAAGTACTAATACTCTAGAACCTGATATGTCAACAAATTGACCAAAGGCACAGCTGCCACACTCAAAGGAACCCCTGGGGCGAGAGCCACAGGGGTCTCTATACCTTCAGGGGAGAAATGGCTGGACGTCAACAGATCCCTCAGAGATTCAATTTTCCTAAATGTGATTCTACGTACCAAGTCTACTAGGCATTTCATCTGTCAGGATGTGCCAGTGTCCAGGGGGTATGAAAAAGATAGGTACTTGTGATCTGGGTTTGGATCATTGCAGAAGCACGTGGCAGGATTATAGATGCCATTACTGCCAATTACATCTAAGCTACTTTCTATTGTGTTATATGCTGATTGGGAGCTATTGCTTTGGGGATTTACCTTCTTCCCCCAAATAGAGGTGTCTTTTACTTGGGAATTCCAATTCTTTTTATGGACTTTGTTGGTTATCTTTATTCCATCAGATATTGGGGGCTCTCTGTCATAATTTGGAGGCATTGGTTGTATCCAAGGTGCGCCAGTCCATCTTGCCCTAAGCATTGGCAGTCTGTTTTCCTGTTACTTGGATTTGAACTGAGGTAATATATATCCCCCCCCCTTCCACTGCCACTATCCCCTTCCAAATAATATTGTTTAGGTCAGGGGTAGGCAACCTGCGGCTCTCCAGCTGTTGCAGGACTACAAGATCCATCATGCCTCTGCAAGTCATAGCTGTAACTGTCAGTTTTGTAATGTTGCAATGCCTCATGGGAAATGTAGTTCCACAACAGCTAGAGAGCCGCAGGTTGCCTACCCCTGGTTTAGGTGGAATGTCATGCATAGAGTTTTCTAATTTTTTTGTTTACAGAACTGAAGAGAACTCTTCCATTAAGTGGAAATTATTATTTTCTGCTTTGCTATACTCTATTGTTTTTTTCCTCTCCCTGCGTTTTCTCCCAAGGGCCGGGCAAGGAGACCTGGTGTGAGCATAATCAGTAACCTGGCTGGGTAGTGCCATCATATGTGTATTTGTGGTCCATATGTTCCTGTGAGGTGTTTTTTTTTTTTTTTTTGGGCGCATGCTAATGTGCACAAACAATGGTACATGTACACAGGTGCACAGATGCTGGCGCCAAAAGGGTTAATTAAACTGGGCAAATGCTCAGGATCAGTGCTGCTTTGTCTTCAGCCTCCTGGGTATCCTGTGGTCTTGTATCCTGATTGCAGTTGCTGACCTTGATTGTCCTGACTACCCCTTGAACTCTTCCTGCACTGACCTGTTCGGCTTGTCTTCTGACCTCCGCTTCAGACTGTTCCATTGGCTTCTGTTCCACTGATCGGCTTCCAGACCTGGCTTGTACCTAGACTACACTTCTACCTGTGCCTTGTACCTGATCTGTCCTGCCTGTGTATGTACTGGCCTGTCTGACTCTGCTACTTGCCTGCTGCCACTGCTACCTGCCTATCACTCTGCTGTTCCTGCTGATATACAGTCTTTCTGCTGTCGCCAGTGCCAGTCTTCTTCAGTCTGCTGCCCAGCTGCCTGCCTGAGGATCCCTTGATTTCACCTGCCCAGCGTGGCCACCTGGTCTCCTGCTGCTAGCAAGACTTACTGGCACTCATGCCTGCACCTTCTGTTTACACTACCAGGGAACCCAAATCAGAGGTGTAAGAGAGGCCTTCCTTATCATACCAGGATCTGCAACCAGGTACGTGATACTTGTCAAGAATATGTATGTAAATACAGTATATGAACATAGTCTGGACATAGGTGCACTTTATCAGAGTGTACAAGCTAATTTACAATGTAGAGGATCTCCAAGGGTGGCTTTGCTGACAGAGGTGCATACAAAAGCTGGGTGGAGCTGGTGGCAGATGTACTGGCTGGAGGGGGGCTCTTACCATGATGTGCAAGTATACACAGCATAGCATCACATTATGGCAGACTTGCCACCTATTCTGCTGTCCTCCGCGTTTGCGGTCACTGTCTTCTGTACCGGTTTCCTCTTACTTTGGCTGCCACTGATGATGTGACTAGAATTACATTTTCCTGGTTCCATTCTTGGCATCTTACAGATGTCGGGAATGGATTGAGTGTGTACACTGCATTGTGCATGCACCACAGGCAATGTACACAGAAAATAAAATTGCTAGCTAAAAAGGATGATTTTATTTTTTTTAAATACTTTTTTTTGGAACTTCAATTCCACCTAAACTTGTCTACTAGTTAATTTTTATTAAGCAGCGATTAGATACACATACAGATGTTAGTACATTTTTTTACATATGAATAGCCATAGGCTTGTTTTGCAATGACAGATAGCATCGCTAAATCCAACAATGGTGTAAACCCTCATATTGGCTCCAAAAACCTAGAAGTAGGAGCCCACTACAGGAGGTGTAATTCTAAAAGGGATCAAATTCTATAAATTCCATTTCACGTGAGTGGACAGCAGCTACGCTTTGTTTAAATCCTGACATGGAAATTACCCTCAAGGTTTCCACATTCTCCAAAGGAGAATATAGATATTAACCATGGTTTTTGCATGGCTTGGATATTATATTAGCTCTACAGATGCATTCTAATATGAACAAAGCTGTACAATATGTTGGAACAAAATAGTAATTTGATCATGAAAGCAATAAAGACAATAGGCAGATAATACCTTTTATCAGTTGATGTATTGGTTGAGGTTGTTTTCTCAGTCACCCTTCTTAGCTTCACCACTTCAGTCCTAAGTTGGCTATTTTCAGAATCCAGCTGTGAATTCTGTTGGTTTAGCTGCTCAACCTGTGGCAATCAGAGAAAAATGAAGAAGGTGTCTATATTCCTAAACATACTCTCAGGGGTGGACTGACAACTCATGGGGCCCACGGGCAATAGGGGATCATGGGGCCCCTGTGTCCTTGCCCACATTCTAAGCACACCCAAAAAAGCCTATAAAAGGTACCAGGGGCATTTCATGGGGCCCCTACTGACCCCGGGCCCTCGGACAGTGCCCAAGTGCTGGAATGGTCAGTCTGCCCCTGCATACTCTACATCTTCCAGTCCTGATTCCACTAATTTGCTCTAGCATGGGTGAACATTTTTCCTGTTACCAGTAAGATATTGTAGTGTTGGCTTACTAAAGCTGACCAGGCTGTATACTTTGCAAGGGAATTTGCCCCAGTGCTTAGTGAATGGCTTCCATCATCTAATCATTTGCAAACAAAATGCTGTTTTGTTTTTAATTTTCCTTGCACGTGTAGCAGGTGCTGCTGAGCCCAAACCTCCTCCAACTCAGTCAGCCAGGCAGAATCCAGACAGCGGCACTGTGACAGGGAAGAGGCAAGCTGCGGAGTGTGTCTCCCCCTCTCCTCCTGTCAGCAGCGCGGGTAGATGTACAGAAAGAGCGGCTCTCACCAGGCTCATTGCCCACCTTGCTTATCCCCCCCCAATGCAACAGCAATGGACCAATCAGCAGGGAGCAAAGGAAGTGGAGAAAGGGGGAGTGTGGAAGCCCGGGAAAGAAAAATGGAAGCAGGGTAGTGCTACAGGGGACAGAGTGAGGAGAGGACTGTGCTGGGGGATGCCAGAGTGACAGAACCACGCTACCCAACACTACCAGTGAGAGAGACTGAGCCACTACAGGGCTACAGACATGCTGCACTACAGACCGGAGTCACGCGAGCAACCCAGAGTGAGCGAACATCCAGCCAAAGAGAGCATTGCTGCAGTTTTGCTGGCTCTGCTGAGGACCTGTCAGCCATTATGCACTACCAATTCTAGGGACTGAGCCATTAGGAACTACCTAGTCATGTACTCTGTAACTTTAATATTGCCTGCAGGCCTCTCTGACTTGACGTGGGCCAACGAGCTTCAACTTTTAGCCCGTGAAGAGTCAGGACAAAAGACTGCCCCTAACCGTAACTGCCCCAAAGCCCTAGCCTGTTTGCTAGTTAAAGAGGTACCATACCCCTGTCCATTCATTTAAGTGGATTCAAAAAACAGTATAATTATAATCATTCTTGCTGCATTCAGAGTTCGTATACATTGCTTACAGTTGCTGACTCCAAGGTTGCTAATGGATATATCTGATTCTTGGCTGAGGTAATGATATAGAACCTTATTCCCAGAGTGTTCTTTTCTACTTGAACTGGGTATAGTTGTTTTTAGAGAAAAGTGTGTGGCTAGTTTTAGCGCATTCCTTGATTTAAGTGCAGTATAGCCTAAGTTGGCCAAATTTATTTTGATGTTTCTTTTTGTTTATCCTTTTTTCTGTAAATATAAATAAATTGCACCTGTTTGTTTTCACCTCCACTATTGTTGTGCTGTGCTATTTTTTTTGTGTTTACCCATCCAGGGGGTATTAACCCTGTTACAATTGCTTATTGGTGTGGCGCTTTTATTACACTTGTGATATAGTTTTTTACCTTGCTTAGCAGACTGTGTCCTAAGTTGCCCGCTGTGCATTTAATCTTGTTCAAACTGCCATTTGTGCTAATCTGTATCAACTGATTTACCATGTTTACCACTATACGGGTCTTTACCACTAAACGGGTGTTTATTTATTGGCAATAATCCCACAGCCAGAAGAGGGGTATTTCACATTTGCGTTGTTACTTACTTGCAGTGATTATATTAACTAGGTGTGCCAGAGGGGCTGAGGTTGTTCTTGGAGTTGAGGCGCAGAACAGAGAACCCAAAATACCAATCGACTCCTCCAGGGGTGGCGCTACACACGTGATTATTCTTTGCAAAATGAAACCTCAAATTCTGAGGCAAAATCCCTTGCAAAGTGAACAGCCTATTTGTCTTTAGGAAAGCAAGTCCATGTTGCCATAGTGGCTCAGTGGTACCATAGTCAGTTGTGTGAGGCCTGGTTCACACTAGTGTGGATTTGCAGCCCACGTTTTCACGGGCACAACAGCCCATTCATTTGAATGGGCTACTGTGCCTGCGTTTTCCACAGAAATAAAAGGTGCACCGTGTTATTTCCCTGCGGTTCCCACATCTGGAAACGCACTGCGATTTCAGATGCATAGGGATGCCATTATGAATGCATGGTTTAACTGCGATTCCCGCACCTGCAGCCACCCGTGATAGCGTGAACCAAGCCTGACTGGTGCCATGATACAAGAGAAAAATTGTGTGTCTGTCTATGGCATGCCTTTTCTTTTTTTTTCTTTTCTCTCCTGCTTAACCTCTCAGAAAAAAAAATAAAAAAGCAAAAAAACACCCTTGATGCTCATTAAGCATTAGGGTAGCAGAGAAACAGTTCTTCTCAAACTTCCTACCCTTTCTTTGTAAACAAAATAAATAAACATGAGAATGCCTAAACATTTGTAATTGCAACAGTTTTCTGGGGGAAGTGATGCATTATCTGACAGAAATGCAGGGGTGCCAACATTTTTGGCCATGACTGTATTCCATTATACTTCCCAGGCAGAAACATACCTCAGACTTATAATGATCCCGCTCAGTACAGCAAGCGTCAAGCAGGCGGAACACTCTATCAACCTGGATTGCCATTTTGTCCACCTCACTTATACTCCGGACTTCTGCCTTTTTTGCTGGGGTGGACCCTAGTTTAGATTTTGGGTTCTGCAATGTGTTGTAGAGACGTTTCAGAATATGGACCTCTTCCATGGCTTGTTCATATTGTGAAACCAACTGCATCCTGGAACTGTCTTGCGTGGCCTCCGGTATGGAATCAGTCTGGATTGCGGCCTGGGAAGTCTCTTTTTTTCATTTGCTGGACTAGCGTTACAGCTGACAGATATTCTAGATGCTTCACCTTGACAAGAAGTTCTTCAAAATGTTTATAGTGATATTCTAAATCAAGGTCTACAGCAGGTACAGAAAGTTGGTGAAGATGCTCCATTTCTGTGGTGGTACCAATACAATAGTAATTATCATTTGTATTTGGAACTTGCTGACTTGCATGGAGGTTTACGTAGCCATCATATTCTGTTTTTATATTTATTACTGCTTGATCGGTCTGCGTCGTGGCTGTAGATGTGCTTACTGCGGTCAACCTTGCAAGACCAGTGCTGTTCTGGGGTTTGGAATTGTCCGTGTTGGGTTTGGGTGTGCTCTCTTTGTCATGTATGATAAAATGAACACTATTATAATTGCCATATGGAAGCACACCAGTCTCTGATACAGACACATGAGGCTTTTTAAAAGGAGCTGGGTAGAGTTCAGGAGAACTTGGACATTTTATGCCTGTAGTAACAAGAGATGACAGTGTTGAAGGTATTCAAATGAGAGAGAAGTTAAAGTGATACTAAACCCAGGACCCTGCATTCACTATATCCGGACTCCCACAGTACACACAACATGGAAATGCAATTATTTTAGTAAATATAAACTGCAAAATACCTTTTCTCGTCAACAGATTATAGCAGTCTTGTGACTTCTATCAGTGTCCAGCCGAGCACTAGATAAAGTTGTAGGAGAAGTTTTAATTTTGCTCTGACTGTCCTATGAGACTGCATAACCCTATACCCTTTGTCTGAACAGCATTGACTGAACCTGTGCTGATTAAACGCAGCCTCCAAAAAAACCCCCCAACTCTCTAGCAATACACACCAAACAGAGCATGTGCAGAGCAACTCCTAGGGCTCTGTACTATCAGCAAATGTATTGGGGACAGTATAAGAAAGCAGAGGATTAAAGAAGACAGGATGAAACATCCTTTCTACACATGGTGGAGGATTAACCCCTTAGATTCCACAGTGAGTATAAGAAGCATGCTTTACTGCATATACAGACTGATTTTACTATTGTGGGCTTAGTAACACTCATCAATTTTATTGCCAGGTATGCAGACCTTAAAAGGTATTTATTCTTTTTACATGTCATAATACCTGTAGAAATATATTTTCTAATATTTTTAGTGGGTAAAATGTCTCATTTTGAGGACACCATTTCCCTTCCTCTGTACTGATAGCAGCCAGAAAACAAATTTGGAGCTGCATAAGATCCGAGCAGACAATATCTAATCAGCAGATACAGGGAGTAAAATAAGTATCGAACACGTCACCATTTTTCTACAGTAAAATATATTTCTAAAAGGTGCTATTGGCATGGAATTTTCACCACATGTCGGTAACAACCCATGCAATCCATACATACAAAGGAACCAAAACAAATAAGTTCAGAAATGAAGTTATGTGTAATAAAATGGAAAGACGGAGGGAAAAGTATTGAACAGGCTAACTGAAATTTATTTAATACTTTGTACAAAATCTTTTGTTGGTAATGAGAGCTTCAAGACATCTGTAGGGAGAAACTAGTCACATGCATTGCTCAGGTGTAATTTTGGCCCATTCTTCCACACAAACAGTCTTCAAATCTTGAAGGTTCTGTGGGCCTCTTCTATGAACTCTGATCTTTTGTTTTTTCCACAGATTTTCTATTGGATTCAAGAAAGGTGATTGGCTGGGCCATTCTAGCAGCTTTATTTTCTTTCTTTGAAACCAATTGAGAGATTCCTTGGTTTTGTGTTTGGGATCATTGTCTTGCTGAAATGTCCACCCTCCTTTCATCTTCATCATCCTGGTCGATGGCAGCAGATTTGTATCAAGAATGTCTTGGCCTCTGAATGGATTGCATGGGTTTTTACCGACATTTGATGAAAATTTCATGTCAATAGCAACCTTAGAAATATATTTACTTAGAAAAATGGTAACATGTTCAATACTTACCATATTTTACGCTCCATAAGACGCACTTTTTCCCCCCCAAAAAAGGGGGGAAAATGTCAGTGCGTCTTATGGAGCGAATATAAAGCAGCTGGTCCGGTATTTCCACCACCACCAAGTCAGAATACCGGGCCGACCGCTCAGCTGTTCTCTGCTGCAGGACTTTACCTGTTCCTCGGTCCAGCGCTGTACAGTCTTCCCGCGCCGGCTTCTTCCCGCATCGGCATCTGTGACAGCCAGGTGCCCACTGCGCATGCACGAGAAGCGCTGCTCTTTGTGAATGGTCCGGCGTCTTCTGGGACACATGACAGGTCCCCCCCTGTACTGTGTCCACAGGCTCTGGTCATCCCCTGTACTGTGTCCGCAGCCTCTGGTCATCCCCTGTAGTATGTCCGCAGTCTCTGGTCATCCCCTGTACTGTGTCCGCAGTCTCTGGTCATCCCCTGTACTGTGTCCGCAGTCTCTGGTCATCCCCTGTAGTGTGTCCGCAGTCTCTGGTCATCCCCTGTAGTGTGTCCGCAGTCTCTGGTCATCCCCTGTAGTGTGTCCGCAGTCTCTGGTCATCCCCTGTAGTGTGTCCGCAGTCTCTGGTCATCCCTGTAGTGTGTCCGCAGTCTCTGGTCATCCCCTGTAGTGTGTCCGCAGTCTCTGGTCATCCCCTGTAGTGTGTCCGCAGTCTCTGGTCATCTCCTGTGTAGTGTCCGCAGTCTCTGGTCATCTCCTGTGCCGTGTCCGCAGTCTCTGGTCATCTCCTGTGCCGTGTCCGCAGTCTCTGGTCATCTCTCCTGTGCCGTGTCCGCAGTCTCTGGTCATCTCCTGTGCCGTGTCCGCAGTCTCTGGTCATCTCCTGTGCCGTGTCGCAGTCTCTGGTCATCTCCCTGTCCGCAGTCTCTGGTGTCCGCAGTCTCTGGTCATCTCCTGTGCCGTGTCCGCAGTCTCTGGTCATCTCCTGTGCCGTGTCCGCAGTCTCTGGTCATCTCCTGTGCCGTGTCCGCAGTCTCTGGTCATCTCCTGTGCCGTGTCCGCAGTCTCTGGTCATCTCCTGTGCCGTGTCCGCAGTCTCTGGTCATCTCCTGTGCCGTGTCCGCAGTCTCTGGTCATCTCCTCCTGTGCCGTGTCCGCAGTCTCTGGTCATCTCCTGTGCCGTGTCCGCAGTCTCTGGTCATCTCCTGTGCCGTGGTCCGCAGTCTCTGGTCATCTCCTGTGCCGTGTCCGCAGTCTCTGGTCATCTCCTGTGCCGTGTCCGCAGTCTCTGGTCATCTCCTGTGCCGTGTCCGCAGTCTCTGGTCATCTCCTGTGCCGTGTCCGCAGTCTCTGGTCATCTCCTGTGCCGTGTCCGCAGTCTCTGGTCATCTCCTGTGCCGTGTCTGCAGTCTCTGGTCATCTCCTGTGTACTGTGTCCGCAGTCCATTGATTCAGAATATTTTTTTCTTGTTTTTCTCCTCTAAAACCTAGGCGCGACTTATGGTCAGGTGCGTCTAATGAAGCGAAAAATACGGTTTTCTTAGTTCACATATATCACTTCTGCCATTTCTGAGCATTTCTTTAATTAAAAAAAACAGATGTATAGGGTAGATACTATCAAATGTCTTTCAATAACGTGACATAGATGTCCTACAAATTGCAAAAAAACCCATAAATTATGAGGGGCATTCAAATCAAACCGGGACTTTCAAGTTTATATAAAAAAGAAAACATTTCGAGGAGTGGAAAATGCATTTATTTTTCGACATACTCCCCTGCTACATTTATACACTTATCCCAGCATTTAACTAATCTCTGGAAAGCTTCGGCATAGAAAGATTTGTCAGTACACCTGAGCCATCCTAGGATGGTCTGCTTCACTTCGTCATTGTTGTGTTCACCGTTTACACAGAAAGATTTGTCTCTTGTGCAATTTCACAACAGGTTATGCGTCGATTATCCAAGATCAGGTGTTCCACACGCTGAAAGTTCACAGGAATGAATGCTGTGGGCTGGGAACTGCCACGGCCGGGATCGTCACTGGTGGATGTCTGGCCAACTTGGAAATGTTTCATCTTGGCAATTGCTCATCATACTATGCCTTGGCAATTGTTCCATCCAATGTACCCCTCTCAAATGTCTTACTGCAGCTGAGCGTCTCATCACTGTACTGTGCTTGAAATTGTAGATATCCGTGGGTTTTACACCTTCGTTCACAAGAAACTTCATCACCACATGCTGTTCCATGCACGCACTAACACTGTTGTCTGCCATCTTGATTAATGGTCTCTGGACTGGCCTGTGACATGTGCGCTGCCTATCAGTAATAGGATACACTTGTGGATTGGCCAGCGACATGTGCACCGCCTATCAGTAATAGGATACATATGTCACCCACTACTGTGTGTGTACTACTGCCACGCTAGCATCCCTTTCTATACTTGTAAAATTAAAAGTTCCAGTTTGACTTGAACACCCCTCGTATGTTATTGCCTCAACAACAAAATCAATGCAACACACCAACACTCCACCATACAGATGTATAAAGTTTAGGTGAAAGGTTGCCTGGCCTGTTGTCTGTTCAACTGTTTTGGCATCAAAATCTGCTTGAAATTCCTATAAACTTGTGTGTGTAAGGCCAGCATCAGAACTGCACTTGGGAAAAAAACCTTCAGTAGACAGAGCTGGCTGGAAAGTAAGCCAACTAATTATCCTTTCTAAGAGTAAAGAAAAGACTGAGGGCTATATTACTAGAATATCATCAGGTTCAAGGGGTGGTTGTGGGTGAGACAGCAGGGACAGAGGTACTGAAGACAGTGAAGTAGCTGCTTATTGAGGCAGTGGGCAAAATGGTATTTCCTGCTCTAAAATGAGAGTTAAAATAGCTCATAGTGTTTTTCAAAATTTTTTTTGCCCTACATTAAAAAAAAAAGCTACTAAAATATGGCATGTGTTTCTTCATCAAAATGTGCGATATTTATCCTATGAAACTGTTCAATATTTTATCTCATGACTTGATATTGAGTGGGATGGATACAGTGGAAAGGAATTAGGACACCTGTTTTTTGTCAGAACACCTTTTTATTGCGGTCTGTGCGACCATTTCGGAGATATTTATTTATTATATTTATTTCAGGTACTTATATAGTGCCATCAATTTACACAGCACTTTACATGTACAGAACATCCAGAAAGTATTCACAGCGCTTAA